TGCCTGCCCCCGTCATCAAAGTTACCACGACGAGGTACATAAGTTATCAGCTCCATGATATGTGAGTTACCATCTATTCACACAAAAGTTACGGGGGGATATTTGATCAACCCCTCCCCCCTATGCCAAAGTTATTAGGACCGGGATGCATAAGTTATCAGGCCTGCGTTGTGTGAGTTACCATGTTATTCACATAAAAGTTATCATGGGATATTCCATCAATCACCCCCGCCCCCTCTCCCTCGGCGCCAAAGTTGCCAGGATCGGCGTACATAAGTTATCAGATATGCGATGTGTGAGTTACCATCTATTCACACAAAAGTTACCGGAGGATATTTCATCACCCCCCGCCGCGCTCGTGAAAATTACCATGCTCTTCACACAGAAGTTATCAGGTGGGAAAAGGAAGGGAAGGGACAAGCGGCGGAGGATTTGCTCAACGGTGGGCTTCGGCGACCAAGGCGGGGTTCAGAGGGGCGCTCCTGGCCGCACGAGTGTGGGGCGGGAGGAGCGAGCTAGGCGGCGGCGAAGGCGGGAACGCGGTGGGACGTGAATGAAGAATCGATGCGGGAGGAGAAAAAAAAATCAAGCGGCGAGCGTGTGCGTGATGTGGATCGAGTCGTTCGGATCTTTCCCGTATTTCCAATCGATCGGAAATTAGCTTTGTCACTAGACAAAAAAAAGTACTTTTTGGACTAGTAAAAAAGTCCTCAAAATGGTTAATAAGTTAGTTTTAATTTTTGTACCACAAGTACCATTGGATTAGTTGGTCGCTGGACCTGCATGGCATCTCGATTACCCAGGTTCGAAGCTGCTTCTTGACAACCCCGCATACCTTGTCAATGGTGTTCTGCTTGGCCTGTCCAAGGATTTTTGAAATTTGGGGGTCGTTCTTCAGTGACACATAATCATCATCGTCATCAGACAAAGTACTAGTTCAGAGCATTCAGCATGGATTTGCTGGGAGATATTCCTTGGAGCATTTTGTTGTGAGGCGCTACTAGCGCAGCCATGAGCATGGGGATTGGAGAAAAATGGTGTGAAATGCAGGATGTGTGTGTGTACCGAGCAAGCCAGGTGGAGGAGGCGCCTCGTCGGAGCCGAACGGATCGAGATCGACGGGAAGCTCTGCCTCGAGAAGCACGCCGCGGCAGCGGCGCTCCGGCGGCTGCTGCTTAGCTGCAAGAAGTGACCTCTGCCTTATCAGTTGCCAGTCATCAACCGAAGACGCACACTGCACTGGCTGAAGCGGGATCGAGCGAGCGTCATCTGCGTACCTGGAGCCAATGCGCCGGAGAAATAATGATCCAGCTTTAGAAGAGACACGAAGGAAACATTGGCGGGGTGGTTATCGAGCACGACCTCCCGCGAAGCGGCACTGGTTCGAGGCCTACGCGGGACATTTGTTTTTGCAAACTCGGGAATCTGACTCGTTCGTATCTGTTTCACAGATACAAACGTTCGGTAGTTACATTTCTTGCACCCTACCAGAGACATTCGCCGGTGCACTGATGAAGATGGCAACAAAACCCTGAGATCGATAGATAGATAGATCGATGTGCGGTGTAGTTTAGTGTAGTGTAGATCCACGACGACGACGACGACCTATTCGACGTACTCGTGGTGCTTCAAAGTTCAAACTGGCCTGCCGTTCTCACAAGAAAACGCCATCAGTTCGTTCGTTCGCCCTGAACTTCCTCTTCCGTGCGGTGAGGAAGTCCGAGAGCTAGCTAGCGTGCACATGTGCATCCGCGTACACAGCTCTGCTCCAGTGCTGTCCCCGCCGCGGAGGCAGTGGCATGCATGCACCTTCCCCTCCCCGGGATATTGTTTCTCGCCCCACCGGCGCCACCGGTCCGTACGTCGGGCCGGGTGCAGAGAACCGCCGTCTCGCCCCCACCGGCGCACGCACGTGTCCGTCCCGCCGAGCCCGCATGTGCCAGCAGCCCATGCATGCGGTTGCGTCCCGCTCTTCTCTTCTCTTCGTCCTCCGCCCGCCTTCCCGCCGAGAAGGCTCCCGGTCACGTCTCGCCTAGCCGACGAAACGTGCGCTTGCGCTGGCATGGAAGAACAAACACGTCAGGGCCTCGTCGCGTTGCGTGCATGGCGGTCCAGAGCCAACCCACGGCCGCCACGGCGTCGCCTCGTGCCGTCGTGCGTACACCTGCTCGGTTGCACCCGTGTATCGCCGCGTACAGTGGACCGAAAGCAACGGGCGCGACAAGCGCAGAGTACATATCACCGTTGTGCCGCGCCGTACTGCCGTCGGGTTACCGACGATCGAAGAAACAAGTCGATCGCCGGTTAAGAACATGTGGGCCGGGAAGGATTAGTGGGTCAAAACCGTGATAGATAGGGTCGATTGCTGATCGATCGATCTTAACCGGTGGGCGGCGCCTTCCGAGAGAGGTGGGGGACAGAAACGTTGCTCCCTTCGAGGAAGGAGGGGGAGCTGTGGAAAAGACGTCCCGAAGGGGAAGCCTGTGGCTCACGGAAGAGCGGGGCAGGACCGCACGAAGATAACGAAACACCGTATGGAAACGTCTGCCCGTGGACCCACATCGATGGATGGATCAGTCCACGGCGAAAAAATGGACCGGTGTTTCTTACGTACTCGTGCCCACTTTTTTAACACAGTACAGACGAAAACTCTGATAACGCCCACAACTATTAATAATTACTCACATGGCCTTGTTTCAATTTTTTTCATTACATATTGTGAAAGCCAGCCTTGTTTGGACCTTCATGTTGGTATGTATTTTTTTCGAGTTGGAATTGTTTTGTAATCCTATATCTATACCTTTATATAGTGTGCGGATAGCTTCGAAAGATGGTCGCTGGATGAAACCAATCCGACGGTGTAGAGATGGTAAATCCGAGCACTACTAGCCCTTGGA